CACCCTTGCCACTTGGGCAGTAGGTCCCAATCCTGGTCATCTACCCAGAGACCTTGCTGCTGTCCTGTTCCTCAGGCTTTACTGATGGTTACATTCTCCCTATTGCTGCAGCATGTACAGATGTGCTGTTCTCTCCCATTGGTCTGCTCCCTTCACAGAAAATATTTCCTGAAAGGATTGTATGTGGTGGTCATTTCCACTTCTTCCCCTTTCTATCTCCTGCCAGCTTCTTTCCTTGGGACTGCAGTGCTATTGACCAGGTTGCCAGTGCTCTCCTTGCTAGATCCAGGTCTTACCTCCGTTCCTTGACCTTCTGGCCGCATTTGACCCATTGAGCAACCTCTCAGGAAGCAATGTCTTGTGGGTCTTGTGGTTTCTGAGACACCTTGGACCTCACTGGTCTTTGCCAGCTCCTCCTTTGATACTTTCGACATTAGTCCATTGACTCCATACAGAGACTCTTCATTCTTCATCTGTGCACAGACCCTCGGCTCTGTTATCTAGCTCCTAGCATTTTAAATCAATCTGTCCAAACAAGTGGCATCCAGATATATAGCCCTTTAGACTTGCCTCTCGGCTGCACTTTCCATTTTCACTGTGTCTCACAGGCATGTCTAATGACCCATGTCCCACCCAGAGCTCTTGATTTCCTCACCTCCTCCCAATGTATTCCTCACCTAGTCTCCCCCATTTCAGGAAGGACCACCATCATCCCGTCCCCCTAGTTCAAACCAAAAGCCCAGGTGAGAATTGTTTCAGATTCTCTCATTTCCCTTCATCCCTTCTAATCCATGGGCGAGTCCTGTTTGTTGTAGCTCATAGCCCGCCTCCATTCTTCTCTTACCTAGTGTATTGAGCATCCTTTTGGTCTCCTGACCTCACCTTCATTTCCCCTGCATTTTTTTTTTCTCCACACAGCAGCTGGAGATATTTTTTAAATGTAAGTTAAGTTATGACACTGTTTCACTTAAAATTCTTCACTAGCTTCCTGTGGAAGAAGGTTTGCATGGTAAAGCCCCACCTCCTTCCCTGACCTTGTCCTGAGCTACCACAGTTGCGCACCCCTCCTGTTGCCCTTGGGCCCTGCCAGTCCCCTTGTTCCCCCAATACACCAGGTTTACTCCTGCCTAGGACCTTTATTCTAGCTTTACCCAGGAAATTTATGGCCTGACTCTGTGTACAGCCAGCTCTACTGCCATTCAGAACTTCCACCCAGATTTATTTCACCTCTTCAGAGAAGTATCCTCAAACCATATGGTCTAAAATTACTCATTATCCTATTTTCTTCACAGCACCAATTGCAAAATAAAATTATTTGGCCTATTTTCTTGTTTTATCAGTCTTTGTAAAAATGTAAATTCTGAAAACAGAGCTCTCCTTTATCTTGTTCATTGTATCATCGGCACCTGTCACAGTACCTTCCATTAGTAGGTGTTTTTTAAATATTTGTTGAATGAAATCTGATTACATGGCTTCTGCTATCTCAACGGCTCCCTTTGCCTTGAGAATGAAGTTCAGTTCCTTTAATGGTTTATGCACCCCTCTGTGATCTTGCCCCTGCTTATTCTTTAACTTATTGGTTCTCAACTAGAGGCAAAAATGTCCCCCCACCTAGCCCCAGAATATATGTAGAAGATATGTGGCAGTATCTGGAGGCACTTTTGCTTGTCAGAACTGGGATGGTGCTGCTGGTATGGTGCTCCTTGGAGACTTGGAGGCTTCTTTAATTCTAAAATATAATTTTATAACTTTAAAATTACAAAGAAAGCTTTTAAAATAATTTTGTTTATGTAATGCTCTCCTTCCTTGTGAGTTTATAGCCTGTTTCAGATCAGATTATAATGTTAATTAACACTAATTTTTACTCATTTGGATCCTTTTCGCCCCCAAATCAAGAAATTCTTATGCTGATTTTTTTTTTTTTTGGGGGGGGGGGGTACCAGTGATTGAATCCAGGGGTGCTTAACCACTGAGCCACATCCCAGCCCTTTTTATATTTTATTTAGAAACAAAGTCTTACTAAGTTGCTTAGGCTGATTATTTTCTTAGTGGTTCCCAAAAACAACATTTTAAATAATTCTAATGTTTAAAAATATTTTCTCTTCCATTTGCATACTTGTTTCACTGTATTTCTAGTAGTATAGATTTTGTTGTTGTTTTAACTTGGTTAAGGTTTGAAAAATGCTTGGCTATGAAAATAGGTAAGAATTTTTTTTAACTTATTCACAGTTTTATTTGAAATTTATGCATTAGCCTTGCTAAGAAACCCCAAAGGGAGCTGGGCACAGTTGCAGACACCTGTGGCCTGGGAGGCTGAGGCAGGAGGATAGCAAGTTCAAAGCCAGTCTCAGTAATTTAGAAAGGCCCTGAGCAACTTAGTGAGACCCTGTCTCAAAATAGAATATAAAAATGGATAAATATGTGTGGTTCAGTGGTCAAGTGCACCTCTGGGTTTAATCCCCAGTATCAAATAAATAAATAAATAAATAAAATAACCTAAAGGGGCATCACTCATTTTACTACCTCTGTTTTTGCACCAGGTAGATTCTCTAGCCCAGCTTTTCATCTCTTTCTCTTCTTTCTAGCCTTACAAATTCAGGTCTGCATTGATTTACTCATCCTTTTCTATCATAAGCATTTCCCAAATCCCTATTCATGTCCATCTCTGATCTAGAGGACAAGGATACACTAATAAATAAGATTGATTCCTTTAGAAGCGATATATTCAATAAGTATTTAACATTTAATTGTGATAAATCCTGTAATAGAGATAGGTACAAAGTGGTGACATAGGATTTTTAAAAATCCATTCTGCTTGAAGGATTGGCAAGATCTGTGAAAGGATGGGCTGTGGGAACTGGGCTCCTGGACAGAAAAAGGAGAGTGGGAGTGGGCTGGGAGAGGCCAGGTGGAAGGACAGAGTGAGTTGTAGCCATTCCAGAGACATGCGGTGGTCTGAATTTCCTGTCACCTCCCTCCTGAGTGGTATAAACAAAAGCATTAAAGTGTAATCCTGCCATCAGCTATAATATCACACTGCATTTTGAATAGATAATTTGAGCTAGGTTTTCAATTCAAAAAGAATAATGAGCCACCTAAGATAGAAACCATTAGGGAGCTGTCTGGCTATATTTGGCTTTCCACAACTTTGAGTAGACCTACATCTGCTCTGGAGGTCACTTACGTCTCTTCATCTTTCTTAGTACTTCCCGTCTTCTCTTGAGACTTATTGTAAATAAAAAGTGGCTTTGTTTGATGTATTTTTATTTTGGAGAGGTTTACCCACCCCAACCCACCCCCATAATGATTTAGTTATGGCTAGGGGAAAATACTGAAGACACTGGTCTCAGATATTATATTTGAAGAAATTTAAACTCTAGGAAGAAAATTACATAGAAGGAAGCCATCCACTTTAGAGTCTTTATGTCCTTGAATTTCATGCTCAAGAGCACTTATCCTGGAAAATGACTTGTCTGGTCAAAGGAATCATTTAGGAAGAAGGTGGGAGCACTCATCAGGTTAAAACATTTCCAGTGAGGACTAGGATAAAAGAAATGATAGCTATCAAAATCTTTTTGTTTCTTTTAAAGGATCCCTCTAAAATATTGGCTACCATTCAATAAAGATGATTATTTTTAAAATTCAGGTTTTTAATTTGACAAATGGTATACCATAAATCTGACTGCCTGAGTGGAGAGAATTCATGTTCTGATGCTTTTGTGCTTTTGTGTGTCACAGAGCTTGTGGCTCTGTACCATCTAAACAGAGTGGCTTAGACAGTGCATCATCACAGCCAATGAGTCACATTGAAACAAGGTTGTGGAACTACAATGATTGCCAATTTTCCCCACCCCTCATCCAGCTTCTTTGCTTATTGTTCCTCTCTTCAGTGGCAGGAAGAATGAGAACAGCTTTTCATGTCCTGAATATAAATTATTCATTTTGTCAGGATTTGTTATCCCAAAACTGTAATCTTGTGGATTATGAAAGGGCTATATGTACCAAGAAGCCCCATTCTGGGAGAGTAAATCCTGTCTTAGAACAAGAGGGGTGCTTTGAGCAATCCTTACTGGGTTCAAATCATTTATAAGTGGGGAGAAAGAATCATAATTGTAATTGAGGCTTTTGTAGTTTATTGAGTTTATCAGAGTGTGCATTTCATCATATGTAAAATGTACATCTCCTCAGCAATTTGTAAGGAAAGTAGTTAAGAAGACTGTCTAGAAAAAATGCAGAGGAAGTAAGATATACTGATACAGTGTTGTATACTAAATAATTTTCATCATTTTAGTCATAAGTCTGATTTGTGCATTGCTTAAAATTTGTGATTTCAAGAACATTTTAAAGATAAATTCCTTTTTTGTGACTTCTTAAGAAGTCGTTTTTACTAGGACTCAATCACAGGCCTTCCTTTGGTATAAGAAGGAATGGGTATCCTCTCCTGGTGAGTTTTGACTATTAAAGTAATACATGGGCAGCCCCTTGCCCTGTTGTCGAGCACCTGTCGACTTCCATGGGTGTGAGTCCTGATCATGGTCAGTCCTTCCTAAATAAAAGGTCCTTCAGCTAGATACACTGGGAAACAGGAGCCCATTTCTCTTCCAATGCTATTGGGAGACAATGCATAGGCACCTTTGTGGCCTGCAATATAACATACTCACCTGTACTTGATTGACGCATCTTACTTGGTCTGCCTACTCAGAGTAGAAAATCGATGACTCCAGGACTCTGGGTTCACCTGCCAAACGTGTAGAGTATGTGTATAAAACCGACGGCAGGATGCCCTCGCTGGACAGGAAGCCCATCCCCAAGCCTTGGTCTGCATGGAGCCGGAGCGCTTGGCGAGGCCTCGTGGGATGGGGGCGTGGCCTGCGGGGCCACGTGGGCGGGGCGGGGCCTGCGCAGAGGCGTTACCTCGCCCTAGCCCGGTTCCTCTGGCCCTCAACGGACTGTGCCTCTGCGGTGGCTTTCCTCCCTCTCTTCCTCCTGAGTGCGCAGCCATGAGCTGGGCTGCCGGCGTGCTGCGGTCCAACCAGAGAGCCAGCGCGAAGCTCCTGGGCCCCGGGAGGGCGCGCAGGCCCCCTCGGGCGGCGCAGGTCCCGCTGGGCGGCGGCCGGCTGCTCACGCCCGTGTCGGAGATGGCGACCGTGAAGGGGGAGCTCTTCAAGAATTTGGCTCCCGAGGAGCGCGTCCACCACACCAAGGTGTCCATTATAGGGAGCGGGTCGGTGGGCGTGGCCTGCGCCTTAAGCATCTTGCTGAAAGGCCTGAGCGACGAGCTCGCCCTGGTGGATGTTAACGAAGCCAGGCTGAAGGGCGAGACCATGGACCTTCAGCAAGGCAGCGCCTTCGCGAAGCTGCCCAACATCGTGTGCAGCAGAGACTACCTGGTCACCGCCAACTCCAGCCTGGTGATTATCACGGCAGGGGCGCGCCAGGAGAAGGGAGAAACCCGCCTCGACTTAGTCCAGCGGAATGTGGCCATCTTTAGATTGATGATTTCCAGTATCGTCCAGTACAGTCCCCGCTGCAAACTGATCGTGGTTTCCAACCCAGTGGATATCTTGACCTACGTAGCCTGGAAGTTGAGTGCGTTTCCCAAAAGCCGCGTTATTGGAAGTGGCTGTAATCTGGATACTGCTCGTTTCCGTTTTTTGATTGGACAAAAGCTTGGTATCCACTCCGAAAGCTGTCATGGGTGGGTCCTTGGAGAACATGGAGACTCGAGTGTTCCCGTGTGGAGTGGAGTGAACATCGCTGGCGTCCTTCTAAAAGATCTGAACGCAGCTATAGGTACTGGTAAGGACCCTGAGCAGTGGGAAAATGTCCACAAAGAAGTGGTTAACAGTGCCTATGAGATTATTAAAATGAAAGGTTATACTTCTTGGGCCATTGGCCTATCTGTAGCTGATTTAACAGAAAGTATCTTGAAGAATCTCAGGAGAGTGCATCCAGTTTCCACCATAATTAAGGGTCTTTATGGAATAAATGAAGAAGTATTCCTCAGTGTTCCTTGTGTCCTAGGAGAAAATGGTATAACAGACATTATAAAGATAAAGATGACCCCTGAAGAGGAGGCCCGCTTGAAAAAGAGTGCAAAAACTCTTTGGGGAATTCAGAAGGAGCTCAAGCTTTGAAGTTGTTTGGAGATATCATTCTGAAGTTACTGAAGACAAGATATAGATATAGGATTGTGTATGCCAAGGTTTGGAATAACTTGAATTCCTAAAAATTGATGAAGAGGTTCCCCTCTTTATTTAGCCCTCCAGGTTTTGTTTGTTTGGTTTTATTATTTAGTATCCAGATGTAAGATGGTACTTTTTACAATTCTTGACTGCAACACAAAAGGGGGTTTTGGTGTCTCTTATGTATCAGTACTTTCCTTGAACATCAGTGTCGTTGCTATCTAGTCCAAAAACAAGTCTGTTTGGTTTTGGATACAAAACAAAGATATTGGTGTTTATTGTGTTATAGAAATTCCATTCTTTTTGTTAAATACATACTAATTCATTCTGGCTCATTAATAAATATGTTCACTTATATACTCTTTTTAAAAGTTGTAACTTCCTCTAATGTAGAAATAAAATTGTGTACACACATGGTACTTTTTTGTAATGAATCCATCTTGAGGCTTCCCTCTTTTTGCTGGAACAGCCAATCAGCTGGACCATTAAACACAAACATCATGAAATGGGGACTCCGTGTGTGTGTGTATACAGCACACGTGTGCATGCATGCCTGTGAAGCGAGATCATTAAGATATGAAAATAATGGTGATCAGATGTAGCTGTTATCAAACGTTCAATGCAGTAAAGTAGAATATCTTTAGAAAGAGGCCTGACAGTCACAGGTGGTACAGCTACTGTCATTGATTTGGCAAAAAAAGGAAACCCTTGAATTATGCAGTTACCAAAAGTAAAACCTGATTTAGAGAAAGCATTTCAGACATGCCTGTGAGAACCTCATCTGCTGTCTCGTTAAATCAAGATGCTATTATAAGTTGTTCTAGCTGGGCTAGGTCTTAGTACTGTGGGCTCTGGCTCCGAGAGTCATCCCTGTTGCTTGGTTTATTTCATGTGAACAGCTTTTGCTTTTCAGTTGTGCCCAGTTTTTAATTGCTTCATAAGACTTGGCCATCTTAGTGAGAATTGCTTTTCTCAGAAAACATTCATTTCAGTTCATACTCTAGACTTTATGGATATGATATACTAAGAGTTTAGGGAAAAGTAAAGATGGTTTATCTGTCCTTTACTTAAAGGACAATATTAATAACTTAGAAAATGGAAAGCTGAGATTTAAAAATTCACATTAGCTTTCCTAACACCATTAAATGTCTAAATGAACAACATGATTATGTTCTAATACATGTCATCTTCAAATCATTGTTGCAATCAGCATCTGCTCTCTAAGCCAAGCCAGTGCTGGCTGCTTAGTTGAATTTTATCAAACAGATTTAGGACAGCAGTCCCTCATTAAAAAAAAATGACCCTGTGTATGCTGATCGGATGAATCTCCCATATACAATTTCACTGAAAACATCTAGAAATGTTCTAATTCCCCCAGGAAACAGTTTCATATAAAGGGATTAACTGATGTGCTGAGTTCCCTGAACATGGGAAAACTAGTGGTTTGTTTGACCCAAGTGGTTATAAGAGATTTGTAGGGCTCATTTGCAGAATCCCTGTTCCCTCTTATGTGATAAGCTTTCATTCAACTGTGTTACAGTCATAATTATGACTTTAGGGTATCAGAGTATGCCTTATGTCTGTTTTATATGTCAGCCAGGATAGGCTGAGTTATGCCACAACGAAAGACAATCTCCCTTAAAATACAGAGGTTTATTTCTCACTCATGTAGAAGCCACAGTGGGTTCAAGTGACTCTCTTGGAAAGCTCTTCTTCAAGTTCTGGCTTAGCACCTCAGGTTACTTTTATCTTGAAGCACCACCTGGGTGACACAGAGTTCCAGTACTGTGATGGGAAGGCAGGAGAGGCGTAGAAAGTCAACTCCTGTGGTTAATACTCAGCCTGGAAGTGACACACATTTCTTTTTCTTATATACACTAGTCACATGGTTATCGAACTTCAAGAAGTGGGAGTATGATCCCTTATCTCCAGAAGTAGATGTATACTGATTCTTGGTGAAAATTAGTGCTACATCTGTCATACATCCAAAAGAAAATATCCACTATTACAAGAGGTATATATTATGTTTTTAAAAATGTTTTCAGTGAAAGGTGGCACATGGGTGAAAGTTTTAGAGACACTTTGTAATGATAATTTTTATCTCCTGATATATTAGTATTATATGGTCTTACTCTGTTCTGTTTTAGGAAGAAACTGAATTACCATATTCTTAAAAGTTATCATTGATGCTATAATCACTGACATATCTAAAGGCTGTGCCTTCATATCAGTAGATCCTATAATGATCCTGGCAATAGTCCTACATCTGCAAGTGAGAAGATAGAAACTAAGTGAACTCGTTAGTGGCAAAAACAACTCAAAAGAGTTTTAAATTCCAATAACTGCCCATTTATTAGAATTGATGCTGTAAGGATTTTCAGAAATTAATTAAACTGAGGTATAATCTGAAGATCTTAAGTATATGGAGCTCCATATGGAGCTCTAAAGCAACTAGAGACCCTGTTTATAACTTAAATGTGGACATTTAAGGCACCACCTTGGTGACAGATTTCCAGTATTGCGATGGGAATGCAGGAGAGGCCTAGGAAGTCACCTCCTATGGTTAATACTCAGCCTGGAAGTGACACACATTTCTTTTTCTCATATACACTAGTCACATGGTTAAGCTACATATACTTAAAATCTGAAGTTGTTGTTGTTGTTTTGCTTTGGAGAAGTCAGTTCTTTCTGTGTACCATCAATAAAGATTTTCAGAATAAAAAACTATACCAAAAACTCCCACAAAATACAAATAGTAGTCCACCAAGATTGTGGCAACCAGAAATAGACACCCCCCTATAGTTCCAGTTCCTTCCAGGGATGAAGTGCTATCTCTAGTGAAAAAAATCTGAAGATTTTAAGTATGCAGAGCTCCATTGTCTAAAGCAACTTGAGACCTGTTTATAACTTAAATGTAGATGCTGGATTTCCATAGCCACAGCTTGAGCATTCGAGACTAGGGCTAAGTGGTGTTTCCCCCACTCTTCTCGGTTCTTTCTCCTGTTTTGAAGCCCTTATATTCCTGGTTGGCTGTTTTCCAGATGATTCCTCCTACTGGTTCAGTTACTTACCTATGACCCTGGGAACAAGTAAATAATACAGTATGGGGAAAATGAGAGGAAAGAAGAAAACCAGGCCAGGAATGGGAATGGGAGCACTATCCTGCTGAAGTTGAGCAGCTGCCCTTCACTCTCCTACCCTGGCCTCCTTTGCTTCCCACCCACTGCTTCCTGGCAGCTTACTATTCTATGTCACTGAGAAGGGAGAACGGTAAATGATGCTGCTTGTGCCTTGGCCATCTCACATCCCTTTTGAAAACTGTGTCATTAAGCTAAGTTTTAACATGTTCACCCGGAAAGATGAAGGGAGAGAACCAGGCAACACATTGTAAACCCTGTCTGAGAAGTGCCTGTTTTTCAACTACGAAAGTCTGTGCAAAGTTCCTCAATGGGGGTATGGTTGGTGCTTTGGAGAAGTCAGTTCTTTCTGTGTACCATCAATAAGGATTTTCAGAGTAAAAAACTACCAAAAACTCCCACCGAATACAAATAGTAGTCCACCAAGATTGTGACAACCAGAAATAGACCCCCCCCCCCCATATTCCAGGTCCTTCCAGGGATGAAGTACTGTCCCTAGTGAAGAACCTCTCATAAAGGGATCATCATAGTGCAAAAACTCTTCTCAGCATGGAGAGTGAAAATAAGGGGTGGGGGAAAGAGAGGCATGTCCCATAATGTGTGTATCTTCAAGATTGGAATCTGGGTCTAGAGCTTGGAGATGCTTGGTGTGGGTCACCTAAGACTATATAGTGGATATATCCTTAAGTATCTTCAGTCTCAGAATAGTTCAACCAAAATTATATATAACTGTAAAGTAATGCTTTTAACAAACAAACCACTATAATTATATCCATGTGAGCTTTGTTCTTAGAACACATTTTTATAATGTGTGTGCACCTAATATACAGTAGGTGTGCTTTATGTGCATCATCGCAATCCTCACAACTGGAGGCAGATAGTTATTATTTCCATTCTGCATAGTGGAAACTATGGCTAGAGAGAGTAGGCAGCTTTTCCAGGTGGCGGAACTAGAGTTTGAACGGAGACTCTGATATCACCTCTGAATTTGGAAACAAGGTAAAGATTTAGCCTCAATTTGAAAAAATAAGTATCAACATGAAAAAATATATTAACTAACTCTCAGATAACCACTCTAAGAATGTCTGCATGTTGCTGATGAGTCCAGGGTTCTTCACAATCCAGATGAGGAGAAACAGTGAGGCTGTGGTGCTGCCGAAATGGCGTCTTCATAGTAGACCCAGAGAGAGGATAAGCATCCATCAGAGTGTGTAAGACTCCAGCTCCAGGAGCCAGCACTCCCCTCTCAGCTGGGGTGTAGGCCTTAGGTGGACCAGGCACCCAGGTGAACTGCAGGAATCCTATCAGCACTACATAAGATCTCCCAACCCCTGCCCTGACTCTTGGATTCCAAATCAACTTCTGCTGGTAAAACCCCTACCCAGGCTTTTCCACACTGCCTGGCCCATAAGAACATTCTAATTTATCTGCCATTCATTGATTCATTTGTTTTAGTAAACTCCTACTAAGTTTCTCTTCTCCATTCTTTCCCTCTGGCCCTAAAATTCTCACTTTGAATGACCTAAGTATGTTCATTTATTTGGACTGACAGAAATGGCATTCTTTGCTACATCTGTATGTATGAAAGCCAGCGATCCACACCATTCCTCTGATAGCAGATTCATATCCTAGAGGGTTGACAGTGTTGCCTTCCAGACTAAGAATGAAATTTTGTGTTATTTAGTTAATGGGTTCATACTTGGAAGAAGAAAAGAGGTGTGTGCTTTGTTCCTTTTGCTCTGTGCCTGTGAACAGTGAAGTGTTTTCCATTCAGCAAAGGTGCCGTCTCTAATAGTTTCGGCTGTTTCTCCCTTCTTCTGACATTTGATGACCAATTTTATTTCCTTCTTCTAGATGAAAGACTTTCGAAGTAAAATGCAATCGATATTTCCAACAATTCCCAAGAACTCCACGTCAGCTGTTGAGTGGGAGGAAGCACTGAAATCTAAATAGAAGGACATGGGTGAATTCCAGAATGATTGCTGCAGGAAGGGTGGTTTTGGAAACACCACCATACTTGAAAAGGGACTGGGAGCAATTTCCCCATCGATCACCAACAGATTGTGATGAAGTGCAGGACGGCAGTGTCGAGGCTCCCTGGCAGGCGCTCTTTCTGTGTGCCTGAGTCTGTCGGGAGGGAAATGTCTTCCCAAAGTTCAGATGACTATTTAACAATAATAATCATGGGTGGAGGGGGCGCAAAGGAAGGATGTCTGTTTGGAACAATAAACCAAGGTGGAGGGGGCCCAAAGGAAAGACGTCTGTTTGGAACAATAAACCAAGGGTTGTACCTGGGAAAAAAAGAGTTTATAATAAAGTATGACAAAGAATCTTTATAAGCAAACCTCTAACAGCAGTGATACCTCAATGTATCTAAATAAGTGGGTTTTATGAGCCTTTCCTGTCAGTATATGCCTGAGACTCTGGATGGTTACTATGAGGCAGTGTCTAAAGTGACAGGTTCATTGGTGACTCCCACATAGTGGGAGGCAGTCGTGTGGCTTGGTGGTCCTGAAAGTCGTCTTTGGTTTGCAGCTAGGACACATTCCAGTTGCTCACCTGATGGCCTCACTGGAAGGCCCTGTGAACCATTATGGGTAGGACAAAAAGCCAACAACAGATTATGATAAATGACAGCTGGGCTAAAATAACAATAATGGGTATAAGATGTACTTTCTTGAAAAATTAGTGCTGGGTCCTGAATACTGACAATCTATAGTTTTGTCTCAAAGTAAACCTATCTTGAATATTTTTAACAGAGTCATTTGAGTCTCAGAAATTGGTAACTGTTCCTTAATGAAGCTAATTCTTACCTACATACGTAACCCTCTCATGTCCTCCACGATCTCACAGAAAACAGATAGAAAATAATGTCTATGTGCAATTATTTTTACTGGAAATTAAAATTCTTTAAAGAAGAGAAAATAATGTGTCAGTATGTCCAGAGAAATCACCCCTGGTCGAACATCACTTGTGCAATTTCCTTAGAATCACTTAGGCTCTAATTAGTCAGCAATCAGGTTTAATAAAGCACATTTGAAATTTCTGTTATAATGAAACCTTTTAGTTGTAAGGGAAAATTTTAAATGAAATGTCAAATGCATAATGTAACATTCTTCTCTAGACCACGCTACCCTATTAAAATTACTGTATTGTTAATTAAACAGGTGTAATCAGTGTCTGGGTTCACGTGGAACCTGTTAAAAATCCAAGACTAAAAGGAAAGGATTGTGAAATTTATCAGCGTATGGGGTGAGGAGTAGTAAAAACTTCTTCACTCATTTTTAAATAACTCTCTCTGAAGAGAAGATTTCCAGCCTTTGAATGCAACGAAGAGGCAGGAGCCAAACCAAGCAGGTGAGGGCTGGGTCCAGGCTCCCCTCAGCAGGTGGGTGACCTACAGCCATTTGTAGCTAGGATCTCCATTTTCATTTCCCCAGATGGAGAGAGCCTATTGATTTCTGAAGGATCTTCCCTGGGTAGAAGGAATGAGAATCCCTAGGTTGCTGGAGTGATAAAGGGGAGTCATTAATTGTGATTCTGTTGAATGAATTCCTGCCTTTGAGCTCCTTGAGGGTGGGGACTTCCTCTGGGGGCCTTCTGAACTTGTGACAGCACCTGCTGCGGGGGCTGGGTACACTGGACTGATGGCAGACGAGCCCTAGGAAGGAGCCAGGCCTTGGTGGGTGTGCTGCGTTCCCACGGGGCCTGGCACAGAGGAAGCCTGAGAAAAGCACGCAGGTGGAGTGAGGGAACGCTGGCCTGTGGTGCTAACAAAACCCTGTCCTTACACTTGACTTAGGTCGTACTTGACAGATGGCAATGGGACCCTGTAGAAATGACCATGAGTCACCTGCTGAGGGAAAGCTACCTGGGACAGATTCCCCAGAATAGGTACCAAGCATTGGCTCCAGTTGCACTTTAAAAGCAGAAACAAAGTAACAAAGATGAAAATTCAAAAAGAAAACAAGCAATATGACTAAAGTGATGTCTTTCCTCAGTCAGAACTCGGATATCAGAAGATTTAGTCTATTCCTTTTATACCAGAGGCATATTGTTAAATTGGTTAATGGAAAGGAAAAATGTTTAACAGATAATGTTATTCTTTATGTGAAGTACCATCTGTGTATTGCATTCTGAATGTTCTGGATATGGAAGAGAGGAAGTGTTATGGAATTTCAAGTTTGCCTTCTTGCTGTCTTTATCTTGGGTAGAGTATGACAAACATAATCACATTTATCTCCTGGAGCATAAAGAGTTTTAATCACCCTATTAACCAGGATGACATTTTTCACAGACTTAAAAAGGAATAGAACAGACATTATCTCCCCATAAGCAATCCATTTCATGGAGGCTGAGCACTAGAAATGCTTTGAAGGAGGGATAACACAAGCCATTTTCATTTCCTGTCTCAGCCAACATTAAGGAGGTTTTTGGCTTCCACTGGGTAAGTGTTAAGCTTTACACTTAGAATGACAGTGCCCAAAGGGCTGCAAGAGGAAGTCATAGGAGAAAACATGGCGGGCAGAGGTGACTTTCAACACTCTATTCTTTCAAGAGAAATGTGCATCCTGGTAAGTTATGTGTCCTCTGCACTGGCTGGTTTTTTGGTTTTTTTGTTTGTTTGTTTTGTTTTTGTTTTTGTTTTTTTTTTTTTTGAGCCAAGAAAATGTGATTTTTGAACAACCTGAGAATGGAAAATAAGGACTGGGAACTATCTCAGCAGCCTGCCACTAGAAGAAAGAAGGATGGATTCCAGTGATAGGGACAGTAAGCAGATGTCCTACAGCAAAGCCAAGATGGGGCAGTAGGGTGACCCTCCTCCATCCTCATTCCAACTCAGACATTGACTGACAGTGGAAAGAAACCTGCCGTGCTCTCATCTGAGCTACTGGGGAGGCTGAAGCAGGAGGTTCCCAAATGCCAGGCCAATCTGGCAACCCGATAAGACCCTGTCTTGAAATAAAAAGGGCTGTAGCTCAGAGATCACCCCTGGGTTCAATCCCCAGTACAACTAATCATCTCAATCATCTCACCTGCCATACTTTAGTTCCATGGATGGTATGGGGCTGAGCTTGCAAATTAATCATTGCAACCTAAGGGAAAGACCGAAGAAATCAGCGTCAGGGGGAGGGCCCATTGGGACAAGAGTAATTAAAATCCACCGAATTTAGCTATTTCACTTCAGGCAATATTTAATCTTCCATAGGTCTGGTTTATGGAGAATGTTGTTTATTTTCATCTCATTTCACGTATCTTCTTTAAAACAAATAGTTAAGTATAGGAAAAGTACAAAAGTTTTCCTCAAATAGTTGAATTTCCTGTCACAGTAAGATGCATATTTTATAGCTTTTTTTGATGTTTAGAATTTTTCATGTAGGGGTTTTTATTTTCTGCCAAGAGTCACTGAATGATAGAGCAAGTACTGGGGCCTCTCTTGGTGTTATCAGGATTCATTGTCAAAGGCTGTGATTTCATGAGCACAGAGAGAAGGAAAGCAAGCATCTTGTTAGCAAATTTTGTCTGACGACAGATAACTCAGTTTTGGAGAAAATTAGAATCACAGTTATCAGGAAGTAGATACAGTTTCAGTATTAGTGGAGTGATTTAGGACCTTAATTTACATTTCTTACATAAGCTGGATCAGATCCTTTGCCTCATTACCATTTGATGAGGCATGAACACTTACTTTAAAAAATGGAACAATAGTAAAATAATAACAGGCAAGTAAGTGTGTAAATGTACTTAAAGACATAAAGTCCATCGTCACTGGACTCTCCTGAGAAGCTCCATCAGGCAGAGTGGGAAAAACTTGGTATATTCATAACACCTATTACCTGCTCATCTGAAAAACAATTAAAAAGTCAGTCTTCCCCTGATATCCCAGGCTCAGGGTGGTTTTCCAGGTTTAGCCTGACAGGTGACACTCTGTGGGACACATTTGGGAGGATGTCTGAAACATGAGTCTCTGGGCTGTACTCTCAGCATGCATGCCCTGCTTGAAAAGAACAAGTTGACCAAACAGTTGGTAAAAGAAAGCTCCATTCGATAGTCCTTCTGGAATCGTGCCCCACCTTGTAGAGGCAGGTGATGGGAATGGGTTTATTTTGTTGCTACTGGTTTTCTTCTCCAGCTGTCCCTGTGGTAGGGGTCGAGTTTCTCCACTTTCTGCCCCAAGCAGAGCCCAGATGGTAGACAGCCAGGGGAGGGTGACCAACGGGTCCATCAGGGCAGCCACCACCTGTACCCTTTCATTTTTCTTCATACATGGTGGCCACAGCTGCTCAGGGACCTTCCTGCAATTGAGACAGAGGTTATAAAGCTAAGAAAGTTCTAGTGAGACCTCTCATCAAAAGAAAGGAGGAAACCCTCTGCTCTCAGCTTTCTTGTGGGCCAGCTCAGATTCCCTTTTCATAGATTTTTATTACAAATAATTTTGGTAAAATATCTGTGTCCATCATAAAGTCTACCAACTGTTTCCGAGGGACACTGTTTTTTACGGCATCGTCAGCGCAAGACAACGCAAGTAGGTGGTCCTGGTTCTTCCCAAGTTGGAGGTCAAGATGTGGCTCCCACCAACCATCAACCTGAGTCCCAGTTGCCCTTGTCTCTCACATACAATGATGTCCCAGCTGGTGAAGATGATGGATTGGTGAAGTTTAACGTCTCCGAGCAGGAGGTGGAATTCACATTCCATACAGGAGCAAGTTAGCTGTAAACTTCCAAATGTAACTGAAGGAGCTGGAAGTGAGGCTTGGGTTCAAAAGCACAGGGTCCAGGGAGACCTCAGCGAAATGCCCACACCCCTGCCAGAGGCAGACGGTCACCCTCAGATTGTTTCTTCAGGTAGGACCAAGCCTACCATGAGCTCCTGTCAAGCATGGGGAGGGGTGGACGGAAGGGGAGATGGAAGAAAAGGGCCAGGGGCTGGGAGAGAAGGAAAGAGCAGGGAGGAGAAGGAGGAGATGCCTCACCAGGAGAGGACCCAAATGGCCAAGTGGCTGAATCAGGGTACAGCCAGGTCCTGGTGGAACACAGCTGCCTTCTCACCCAGGCTGGCCCCATTTACACCAGCCACCAAAACTCGAAAAACTGAAAATCACATCAAACTGGCAAAGAACTAATTTCTGAGTCCTGTGGAGGACAATTCCAACTCTTAGTCCTGTGACCAAATAGGTTAAAAATTAAAAGCCATCTGACAAAATCCTAATGCATTCACTAACCCTGGCCTACTGGACAGGAAGAAGCACTTGAGGTGAAGAGCCCCAGCACCGACAGGGGCCAGTCCCACCCAGCGCCTGATCTTGGGGTCCTCCCTGAGTGCAGAGACCTGGAAATACACAC